GTCAGGACAAAGATGTTAACATTATCACTTGGGGTATATTTCAAATTTATTAGGGGGTACATTAGGATAAAGACTGAGAGATGTCACAGGGAGTCCACTTTTAAAGGTAAGTGGAGCAGCTGAGCCTGACAAATGAGAGATGATGTAAGTGGCTGAGCCTTGCCAACTCCAGTTAGCTGTGGGGGAAATCCACGGGGACAGCTGTTATATAGATCCATTACAACCGGCACAACATGACACGACCAGTGCTGAAAACTGCTCATCAGCTGGGCCCACACAAAAACGCCTCAATCATCCACTTCTACAAAGAATTTAACCAAATAACACACTGTTGATATCCAAACCCTTAAGGCAAAAGCCACAAAACAACAATCTGTCTCTTGGCAATAAAACGTTCTCCTATATTATCAGCCAAGATGATTTTTAAAGTCTAAAAAAATAATAAAATCCATAATGTAACAGATTGAAAGAAATCTTTTACCTTGTACATTATGGTTCCCTATGGTCCATGGTTCATCAGAGTCAAAATGCGTGTCTCCACCCATTCCAGGTCCAGGGAAGTAGGCATGAGCCAGAAAGCCCCCCTCCCCATCAAAAGGAGAGCTGTCTCCATGAAAACCTGAAGCGAAGAAGATCATGATGTCGGGCTCCTTACGGCGTCCATATTTGATGTCCTGGTAGGGGATTTCGTCAAAGCTCAGTGGGGTGACCCTCTCCCAGACTTTAAAGGCCCGCCTGATGGCCTCAAACGAGTTATACTCTCCAATTTTTGGAGTGTAGTTCTGAATACTACGGGGAAAAAGAGAGAAATAGAAAAAGGAGAGTGGCCAATATAAGTTTGAAGTAAAATGTATTAAGCATTAATGTTTTTCATTTATATGCTGTTAGAAATTGTCAGTGTCTGGAAAGTTTGAAGAAGATGAGAGCAAACATCTTCAGACGAGGCAAGTTTGAGTTCTAGCACATTGCGGCAAATGTATACTTGATACGAAAAACATAAAAAAAGCAACATATAAAAGCCGACTTTACTCAAGCCTCAAACAGACAGAGATTACATTCACTTCCTCTCTGTACATTTGTGGCAGATCGGCTCGTCTTTGTTGTTACCTGTAAGTGAGGAGCTTTTTGTTCCATTTATGTCCAGTGAGGGCATAACGTTTCCGCCGAACGTTGGTTTTGATCTGGCCTCCAAACTTGTCAGGCACACCGCAGCGGGGTCTCTTCATGGCACTGTAGGAGATGAAAGAAGTGGTGTGTGTGTGTTTATGTTGAGAGGATGAAGCAACCAAGAGAAAAGATGAAGGGGAGCATTACATTAAACCTTCTTGTCCTGCTATATTTCCGTGAGCAGTTTGTCTCAAGCAGCTGTCTATTCTTTCACACTACAGAGGATTTTTTTCTACCAGCATTCTGGGACAAATCAATGAATAAAGGATTAAAATGGATTGTTTCATTAAAATTTAGGACTCGTGTGTACTGCCAGTTTATTTGGGCCTCATTAATGGATATACAGTACTAAAACACTACAGTTAAGTCATGCTGACCTTAGAGTTTGAGCGTCGATCTCTCCAGTGACCTCCAAACCGTAGAATCGCTGCATGTCGCTGATAGCATCGGACAGGATCTGAGCTGATCGCATGGTCGACATCTGTCTGCTAGCCTGGGGCAAGTAACCGTACATCCTCAGCCATGCCTATAATCAACATTAAAAAAAGTGTATCACCTGGGGCATGTTTATTTGAATTTAAGCTCATTAGAAAGAACTAAATATTTTCAAAAGACCAAATATAAAAAAAAGAAGAACACAGCAACGGCTGTTTTATAAGCATATTAGCAGTTAAATGTCTGTGAAGGTTCTTAGTCAATTAGCAGTTAAAGCACTGAAGAGCTAAAAACCATAACGTTTGACTTCTACTTGGCTTCTGTAACATGTTGACATGACAGAGACTTGCCTTGATCTTTGTGGGAAAGCTGCTCATATTTATTATTTCTGCAAGTGTACAATCCTGGTTTCCCACCAAGCCTGAGCTGACCCACCATATTTTTGGTTAAGTGTGTTAATATATTTTCTTAGCTTACTTTTCCTGTTTCTGTGTAAAAATGTCTCAAAGGCATTTGTTA